TTAATTATGAAATGTTTCTAAATAACAAGAGCATAGCTGCGCATTCGAAATTTATTAATTACATCTTAGCACAAATAAAATTATGTATGTATATTTTAATTTAATCCATTACAATAGTTTTTTTTATTTAAATAAAATTTTAGTATCAAAATATTATAGTAGCAATAAATGTTAATATGCTTATAAATATTATAATTATAGTACGCATATCATCAGGCGATATAATATCAAGTGAACAGGCTGTCAGTATATGTTCAGATGATTGCAAAATATTAACCATGCGTTTCTTTACTTTTGATGGCTTTATAAATGTATACCCTTTGTTTTTATACAAAATTAAATCAGTATTCTTACTTTTAATATTTAGTTTGTTATACATAAGATATTCAGTTTTATTATATATTCTATTAATATGATCACTTTTTTTAAATTTGTTAAATTTTATTAAGCCACATAATTGATCTATATTCCATCCATATGTTTTGTATTTGCTCTTTATATCGGTACATAAGTACTCTTTTTTGTTTGAACTATTGTTTATATTTATTATATATAATTGAAATGATTTGTCAATTATTACAGGAAATATATTTACTTCATTAAGTTTTTCATAAAAATTTTTTAATTTTTTATTGTGCTGCATATGTAATATTTCAGTGTTACTTTCATATATTTTTATTAAGGCCTCAATAAGCATTTCTGGTTCCATTAACCCATATTGTAAATATTTTAAATACATCGTATAAAAAAATTTATAAGTATTTATTGGGAATGCAATGGCAATAACATTGTTAGCATTACAAGTACAGATATGGGACACATGACCAATTTTTAAATATGTTTCATGCTGATCACTCAAAAAATAGCAGTAAATACAGTGATTAAAGCATTTAATCACCAGCGAATTTTCAAGCAATAGATGATTAGTTACGAGCAAAACACTTATTATCGATGTATTATGTTCAATACACTCGATATTACCTGATTCATTTTCATTTAATTTTGAATTTTCACTTTTAACATCACGTATTAAATATTGTCCAATTCCAAATATGGTTGTTAATTCTTCTGTTGAATTATATTCCGGTGACAGTAATAAACCTTCATTGGACACTTCAGATAAGTTACTCAAATTTTTATCTTCACAAAAACGTAAAGGTGGTGTTGGGGAATGACTTATATTACTATTTGTTGTTATATTTGGCGTTGTACTAGATGATTTGGCATCATATGAAGTAGTACTAAATGTTTTTATAGCATCTGTGCTAAGGGTAGGATTCTCACTGCTTGACGATTTTATATAATCACTTGATGAATAAGGATTAAAGGAAGTTATACTTGAAGACTGGTGTAGATTAATAGAAAGACTAGATGATTTTACTAAACAATCGCTAGATGACGACATTGAGGAAGCTCCGACACTTGAATTGAGTGCATTTTCATTATTATTTTTACTATGACATATATGCTGCGAATCTTTTTCGACTATTTGTTTGTTAGGCGATATATTTTGCTGACATTTTTCAAAAATGCTAATGCTATTCATACGTACGATATCTGGCTCGATTATAACATTATTTTTACCAACTACTTCTACATCGTTCCCAAGTTTAATTAAATCAATCATGCAACGTTTAGATATTTCTTCAATTTTATCTGATTTTATTGGATCCAAATTTTTTAACAAATTGGGAACAGCTAAATCACATTTTGTAGTTGGTTTCGACATTTCTACTAAAAATGTTTTATCATATTTTCTATCCTCACATTCCTTATCTGTTTTTAATAAATTAATGATATTTTTAGACACAATTTCACTTGGAGTAGGAGTGAGATTATTACTTATTGTCTTACTGGAAACATTTTCAATTTCTTCTTTACTATTTATCAAACTTTTTTCATGTGTATTATGAAAGCAAGTATCATTATCATTACATAATTTTTTGAATTTTTTACTAAGTGTGGTACTATTTTCCAGATTTTCATTTCCATTATTAGTCCCTGGAAATTGTGGAGATAAAGTTTTATCTTTTGCAATCATTGTCTTATTTGGATTATCACTTGAGGAAAATAATTTATTAGGCAATTCAGATATTGCACCTTTCTGACTTGGGTGGTGAAATGGGATTTGTATATGTTTCGCAGTTACAGTTACATTGGCAGTTGCACTTAATAAACAATCTTTATGTTTCATGTTACATAATGTATGTAAAAGATCGCAATCTTCTTTTGTTACATTTAATTTATACATATTTTCTGCACTTTCCGATCGTTTGATAGCTGGTGTTACTTCAGTGTAAAATTTAACATCGCCCCCAGAAGGTTTAGCTGCATCACGTTTAATGAGTGCAAAATTATTTGCAGATTGAGTACGTATAACACGATTTCCTTTCTGTTCACATTTAGGAGGTATGCACATTTGATTTGTAAGGGGATTATCTTTGCGTAAAGTACGAACCGCTAAATCATCTTTTACAATATCAGGTAAATTCGTTATTTCACGTTTCTTCATATTAGTAATAGAATGAATATTTAGGTAATCTGTTTTTGATGCTTGAACGATAGGTTTTAAGGGGATACCAAATGGAAGTACTTCAACTGTCTTACTATTTACAATTTTCATATTTCGATATGCAACATCGTCAAGCACTGGATCTGGTTCCCCTGAAGGCGATTCCTCATCATATGAATCATATTGACAAAAATTATTATTTTTTAAATTGAAGAAACTTTCATTATCACTAGTTTTAGATGTTTCTTGAAAATCTAAACTTTTATATATAGTTTCCAACTCATTTATAGCATCTTCAAGATTAGATGACGATTCTAATTGAGATTGTTGCAATTTATTATATACCTTAACATTGTTATGTGGCCTCATATATGTTTCATATATAGGCATTTTATGCTTTTCACGCCTTTCTGCAACATATCGATCATAAAGATTTTCGTTATAAACATCGTTTGAATTTTGAATATTTGATGTCATTAAGTTAACCAAGTTTTTGTGGTTTTTATAAGGTTTGCTATGTTTATCTTGTTCAATATGCGTAACATTACCGCATTCGCATTGTTTACCACTTATAAGACTTAATTTTGTGTTTTCGACAGTGTTATTTTTTATTTTAAAACAATTACAGCTGTTGGGGAATAAATTTTTCTTTTCATTATAGTTTTCACTCGTATTATTATGTTGATCTACAATTTTTTCAGCAATATTTGATATATTTGAAACTTCAACCAACTGCGCAATTTGTTTATTCAAATTGTCATTATTTATTGTCATCATATTATTGACATGTATTGGTTTCCGAGATCTAGGTAAAGCGTCAGCAATATAATATATACTACTAGTATTAGGTACAGTATTATGTGATAAAGTACAAGTTCCATCAATGACTGGTAAAGTGTCATATGTATAATCTGTAGCCATTTTAACAGTTGGCGAACTTTTTCGATTTAGTGGACTTCGATTGCCACGAGTTATAAACCGACGACTTTTTGATACTGTTTCCACAGGCTCTAAATTTTTTGCAACTGAATTTATGGGAATAGTATTTAACAAGTGAGCTGATCTTGATTGGTATTTTTTACCACTTTTTATCAAAGTGTTTTTATATTCTTTTATATCTGAAGAACATAACCTAGAATTTTCATCGAAAGCATACGATTGTGGACGCGAACGAGTATTGTTTAAAATTTGCATACTTTTGCTAACATGTATTTGTCGTGATGTGCCTCTTGGCGGTGGTGTCGGAGGTGTAAGAGATAAGCATTTATTAATGACATTTGAACAGATTTGACTATCGCAACTTATACTCCTCTTTGTATCAATTGGATTTAATAACTGATTAGTACCTTGTGTTTGTTTGCTATAAGATACATACGGACTGATGTTTTGTAAGCCATAAGTATTTTCAAACTGTGAGTCAAAATTACCATTAAGTCCAGATTGTCGAGTATTATCAACAGGTAAAAAATTAATATTATCAAAAAATTCTTTAGATTTTTTTGGTTTCGTAACTGAAGTATAAAACAGCCTCTCATCTTTTTTCGTAGAGTTTTCAAAATCACGAGATAGCCGCTTATAATAACGCTCATTACGAGCACTCCGAGTACGACGATTGCTAACATTTACAACTAGTGCACCAATGTTGGTGTTTCCATCACTACTTTGTCTTTGGGATGCATTAGATGAAAAATTAGTTAATGGCTTATTAAATAATGGTGGTAATGAAGTTGTTGAATTCCTCAAGTCTGGATGGTTCAACGGCTTATGTAGATGTGCTGCATTTACATCAATTGGAGATGTTTCAAATGGTAAAAATAGTTCATATTCTGGTTCTTTACTATTATTCTGATCAATTACTTTCCCAGAGTTAAGAGACATTATTGAAATATCACTATTTTGAAATAATCTTAGTTCATTACACTTTCTATTGTCATATGTCTTCTTGATATTAGATTTTTGTTTACTGTTTTTAGTACGGTTATTTTTCTGAATTGATTTGAATCCTGCTTCATCCTCTTGTGATGAAGAATCTGAATTGATTTCTTTTTTTTTTAAAAACAGCCTGCTTATAGACCATTTTTTGTTTGAATTTTTAACGCAAGGACTAACATTTTGTGCACTGAAGGAATAACTACCGCCTTCATTATGTACGTTATTCATACTGTCCATGTTGATGACTACCCGTTATAATAATCTAAAATTAAAGTAAAACATTCAATATATACATATATATATCAATATATATCTAGATATTACAATAAAACGAAATTAGCGTAATAATATGTATAATATTTCTAAGCCTTATAACTAGCTATAAATATATTTAATTCAAATTTGTTTAATTGTATTATATACAAATAAAGAATTGCTTTTTATAAACAAGAATACATATTAAAATTAGTTTATGCAGGTGCAGGTGTAAATGCGCAACAGTTTAAAAAACAAATCAATTTGATTCGAAATACATATATCTTAAAGTTTCATATGAGCTCTTGTTTTTTAATTCTTATCCATTGAAAATCCTTACATTTAATTTAGTTTGCCTGGCTATATACATACATATCGAATATTTTTGTTTTTATTTCAGAATTGCAAAAAAAAACATAGAACACGTTTAAAAAATTTTACTTTTTTTATCAATATTTTTTTGCATTGAGCAAGAAACAGATTTTTAAATCTTTTTAAACACACGAAAACATATTCACCGAATGAGTATTTTTAGAAAAAAATATACACATGTATGTGCTTTAATATTTGAAATTGAGAAAATTTTATTTATAATAAATTGCGCAAAATATTATATTATTACTTTCTAATATGATATTAAATAAAAATTTAATGTTAATTGGAAATATATAAAATATGTGTATATACATATGTATGTATATCAATAGAATTATTTGTACTTTTATGGAATTAAAGTGAAACAGAAAATTTTATAATAAAAATATTTGTAATAGTTTTATAGTTTATTATATTTATTATTATTGCAAAAAGCACATACAGTTATAGTTTTATATTTTTATTCACTTAACATATGTGTTAACCACAAAAAGGCTTATGGATCTCTGAAATAAAACTGAAACTGTCAGAACTTAATAATTCACACAAACTACGATATGAATGTGCCTTCCAACTAATTTGAATTATTAATTCTCAATTAATTAATTCTCAAAAAGAAAGCAAATTCTGCCAATTTATTAAATCAATGTGATCACATATCATATATAGCACATCAAAATTTTATAAAAATCAATTTTTTAAGTACGAGTTCGTTTTTTGATATACATACGTATAATATATGAATATCTGGAATATTTATAAATATGCTTACCTCTGCTAAGCCCCTTTCTAAGTAAGTGCGATATAACGTAACAATGCATGTGGAAATTATTTGATTTTTCTTTATACAACCACTTCATCCAGTTTTAGTTACATTTTCATATAATTTGTGGTATTATATAAATTTTTTAATATATTTTTTATTTACTTACCTTATTTTAGAATGCTATTTTACTACAAATTTGTTAATTGGTATCAAAATTTTTATATTTATTCACACTGGAGTTATACATATACTTTTTTTTTGAAAAATTAGTTCACAACAAATTAACGAATTAGTTATGTTAAATAAAAAAAGAAATGCTAAAAATAGAAATATTTATACGTATGTAATATATGAAAATAGATTTCATAAAAAGTACTTACTCTTAAAGGAACGGTACTAAGATTAATTGAATTACATCTAATTCAATTTATGTCTGACTAAAGGTTTTTGTATTATGCAAATTCTGGGTTTACTAATTTTATCCAACTACATGTCTAATTTATTGTTACAATTTTTTTTGATTTTTACTTTAACATTAACTTGACTACATAATAAATATTTAAATACTTAATTCAATTATACTTTCTCCTTCACAATATATGACAATTTGCACGGACACGCAATTTAATGTTTTATATTTTTTCTTTCTATCTGTCATTCTACATTTTTTTAAACAAACTAGTTGGCCTCTTCACACAAAAATTAAGATATGATTTCAATACATTTTATATTATATCTATTTAACGCTTGTGAATGCTTGTACAACAATCAAAGCAGAGTCTGTTGGTAATGCAATAGAGAAATATTATATAAAAAGCATGGTCTGAATTGCTGTATTTAAAAATGAAATTGTTTATCGGCTAGCAGACAAACCAAATTAAAAAGCTTTTATTATTATTATTGTGACATTACTCCGCCTTAGCGGTTGTTTTAAAATAATGTTTTAAAAGTTTTTGAAATAATTAATATTATATATAATGTTTATGGTGTTAAATTTGCTTATATATGTTGATTTTTGTGAACATTTATAAATGTTTTGTTAATTTAAAAAAAAATTTTAATAAAATTATTATAAACCTGAAAAATTTTTTGCTTTTTACAAAAATGAAGCACTGATGAAGTTCTAAAAAACAGAACAAAATATATGCTGAAAAATTTTTAAATAAAAGCTTTTTAATTTGGTTTGTCTGCTAGCCGATAAACAATTTTATTTCTAAATAAAATGATATCAGATGATAAAAATACAAACAAAACTGAACTGCTGTGACTATTTTCAATTGCTTATTTTTGACTCCGAAAATAAAATCAGCAAAATACAAATGCAATAATAAAACATACACAATAGAAATGTGTGTGCACTCAGCTGTTGAGAAGCGTGTAGAGTCATAAGCATAGTTAATAAAAGTATTTTGCGTTTTTGTAAACACTGATTTTGAAAATTGTCACATCAATTCAAAATCTCTTACAAAAACATTAGAGATATTAATATTTGTGTACATTTTTTTCAACTATAAACCAGAGATATACATATATTTTCTAGAAATTGAATTATTAAATTCGACTTTTTCCACTTTGATGGATATGAATTTAGGTCTGTCTTTGCCAGCCTTTATATTGAACAAAAAAAAAGAAAACCTTCCGCCATCTAGGTACCAGTAGTGTATTTAACAAAACAAAAACATTAATGACTTATATCATGATTCCAGCTACGATAACGGGTAAACGGTGCACTGTAGAAGTTAACTCCTCAAGCAAAAAATGTGCGCATGATAATACTCTATTAGGATTAAATAAAAATTCAATCCAAGTTACTACAAAAATTTTGAAAAAAATTAGATTTATAGAATCAAGAAAGTAAATTTCATGAATAAATGAAATTTTATATATCTTTTGAACTAAACTATTGCAGATAGAAAAAATAAATAAATAAATATATCAATTTAAAGATGATATAATAAGCTATGTAAATATAAATCAATTTCTCAGCCCCATTGGATTAACCGTTTTTGTGAAATGCAGTACAAAAAAAAGATGTCTGGATATTATGCTCTCAGCGATGATTACAAGTAAACGGTGCACTGTAGAAGTTAACTTCTGAAGCAAAAAATTTGCGCATGATAATACTGTATTAAAATAAAATTAAAATTTAATACAAGTTAGTACTAATATGTTGAGAAAAATTCGATTTACAGATTTAAGAAAGTAAATTTTACGAATTACTAAGATTTGCCATATCTTTTGAATTATTGCAGATAGAGGAAACAAATAAATAAATACACAAATTTAAAGGTGATATAATAAGCTAAAAAGAAATCAACTCCTCAACCCAATTGGATTAACCGTTATCAAGAAATACAGTACAAAAAAGTGATGCCTGGATATCATGCTTTCAGCAACGATAGATCTATAAAAAAAATGAATTATGAATAAGAAAATTGATTGAATTAAAAATATGTAATTTACATGGCGACTTTGATTTTTTAACAATATTGAACATGAAATTACGGGACTTTATTTACATCACTAATCTCTTGATGTAAACAAAGTCCCGCAAACAGAGTGACAAAAAAATTCAAGAAAACAAAATTTCTAATTGTTGTTCGCATTGCAGTGAAATTTAATAAAAATAACTGCATAACATAAAAAATGCGTGTGCAATATTTTCCTTAAATTTGTTTATGCACGCCAACAAAAGAAATAGTTACTACAAATTTAACAAATTTTTGCTAGTAACAAAAAAATAATCAATACTAAATTTAAAGTTAACAGGGTCATGTATTAAAAAAAATGGATTTTGACTAAAAAATTTATTAAATTAAATATACATATGTATGTAATTTACATGACGACCTTAATTTTTTAACAATATTGACCATGAAATTACGAGACTTTATTTACATCCATAATCTCTTGATGTAAACAAAGTCCCGCAAACAGAGTGACAAAAAAATTCAAGAAAACAAATTTCTAATTGTTGTTCACATTGCAGTGAAATTTAATAAAAATAACTACATAACATAACATATGCGTGTGCAATATTTTCCTTAAATTTGTTTATACAGGCCAACAAAAGAAATAGTTATTACAAATTTAACAAATTTTTGCTAGTAACAAAAAAATAATCAATACGAAATTTAAAGTTAACAGGGTCATGTATTAAAATAAATGGATTTTGACTTAAAAATTTATTAAATTAAATATATGTATGTATGTATTTTACATGACGACCATGATTGTTTCAACAATATTGAACATGAAATTACGGGACTTTATTTACATTAATAATAATTTGATGTAAACAAAGTCCCGCAAGCATAGTGACAAAAAAATTCAACAAAACATACCTCTAATTGTTGTTCGCATTGCAGTGAAATACAATAAAAATAACTGCATAATATAAAAACGCTTGCACATATTTTAATGCATAACCCTCTATGCATTAAAATCAATTTGCCTTAGATTACCAGCACAATAGGTTTTGTACAAATTTTTTAAAGAAAACATGACATATGTATATCATATTAATGCGCACCCATACACACATACACAGTTAT